CTCCAAGGTTCCTCACAATGTTACTGGAGGCCAAGGTAATGCCATCCAGAGTAAGAATCTGGTTAGAGACCATATTTCTAAGATTTTCAGGTCCGAGTACAATAACCTCAGTTTTATCTGAATTCAGAAGCAGAACATCAGAGGTCATCCAGGTCGTTATGCCTTTCGAACATTCTTGCAGTTTAACTAATTGGTGTGTGCTATCTGGCTTCATAGATAGATAAAGTTGGGTGTCATCTGTATAGCAGTGAAAATGTATGCTATGCTTTCTGATGATACTGCCCAAGGGAAGCATATATAATGTAAACAGAATTGGTCCTAGCACTGAACCCTGTGGAACTCCATAATTAACCTTAGTGTGTAAAGAGGACTCTCCATTTACATGTACAAATTGAAGTCTATTAGATAGATATGATTCAAACCACTGCAGTGCAGTACCTGTAATACCTACAGCTTGCACCAATTGCTCTAATAAAATGTTATGGTCAACAGTATCGAATGCTGCACAGAGGTCCAGCAGGACAAGGACAGAGATGAGTCCACTGTCAGAGGCCAGAAGAAGATCATTTGTAACCTTCACTAAAGCTGTTTCTGTGCTGTGATGAGCTCTGAAACCTAAGTGAAACTTAAATAAGCCCAAAAAGCCGTTCCTCTACAGATGATCAGATGATCTGTTAGCTGTTTGACAACTACTCTTTCAAGAATTTTTGAGATGAATAGAAGGTTGGAGATTGGCCTGTAATTAACCCTTTCATGCATAGTGGAAGCAATTTTTGAACTAACTCAGAAAGTTTAATTGGATTTTTTCTCTAGTAATTAAAATTTTATTTGTGAAGAAATTCATGAAGTCATTACTAGTTATCACTGAAGGACTGGTTGGCTCAGTGGTGCTCTGACCTTTTGTCAGCCTCGCTATAGTGCTGAAGAGAAACCTAGGGTTGTTCTTATTTTCTTCAATCAATGATGAATATTCTAGCTTTTTTATAAACTATTTTTCCAGGCTAAAAGATGTTCTTCTAAATTTTTGATTCGCCATTTCCTCTCCAGTTTACAACTTACCTCCTTTAAGGTGCCCATTTGAGAGTTATTCCAGGGAGTCAAGTACTTCTGATTTGAGGCTCTCTTTTTCACAGCAGCTACAGTATCCAAAGTCATACATAGTGAGGAGGTAAAATTATTAACAAGATAATAAAGCTCTGTTGGAGTGGCGTTCAGGTAGCTGCTCTGCTCTGTGTTGGTACAAGGCCTCGAATATGATAACAGTGGGTGAATTATACTCTTAAACATATACAGGACTTTCAGAAAGACATCTACTGTGATGAAATCGACTCCCTACTGCAAGCGGGAGGTAGATTTTAGTGCATGTTTTTAGACAATGGCAAATTTTGGGGATAGTTTTTCCCTCTGTGCACCATCGCAGTGAATTTTAAAGCAAACAAACAAGCTACAACAGAAGTGCAGACTTGAAGCATGAACTGTTTTAGGAATTAAAGCCACTTTTATCCACAGGTTACCTGTTTTCAGAGGCTCAGAAGTACTTGGACATTTACAAGGTGTGGCCTTAGTTTGAACTCACAGGAGAGGAGAAGATGCAGAGACATTGTGGGATCTAAGCTGCTGTGCATGTTGCACTGCACACAGATCCCATATGGCGGAGCCATTACATACTGTGATGATAGAGGATCATGTCAGCTTTCCTGGCCGGGGCACATTAACTGGACTGCTGGAGGATTTACAGTAAAGGCTTGTGTGGGTCAGTCTAGAGTTGTACACACTGCAAAAAGTATTTCTTTCATTAAACTGTTCAGCTAAATAAAATATCGCTTAAATTTGTGCACCAAATTTAAGCGATATAAAATTAAATTGTCAGACTTGTCATGTTTCCTTACATTGCTATTTGTGGTTGGGAAAATATAAATAGGCAACTGCTAATACATTCACTGAGTTATGAAAAAGTAACAGATTTTAATTCAGTCTAAAATATTCACCGTAATGTTTTCTTATGATCCCATTTTTTAAAAAAATATTTCATGTTTATTATTGATTAATTTTCCTGTTTTTATTATTAATCCGTTAAATATGTTCATTATGCTTTTGGAACACTGATAAGTTTTTTTCTGTATACTTTAGTCAGACCCAAAGGCAAATTATTTGGTTTTAAGACCAGTTTTGTTATTTGAAGCTTTGTTTATCCAAGCATTAAAGGATTTTATGTGTATTGTGATAAATATACAGAAAATGTATAACCTTCTGTCAAATAAGGTAACACAGAGTGTTACCTGGCCCAGTCATGCTGACTGTGCTGTCATCCATCCACAGGCCCATTCTGATTTTCTTTAAATGTTTTATCAAAAGTCACAGATTTCCTTGTTTTTTCATTGAAATGACTTATTTGTCACAAAGGCCGTGGTCTAGTTTTCTCATTTATTAGCCAGTTTCAGATTTCTGCTCCACTTTTATCAGTCTAATATGAGAGTAAACAGATTGTGAAAATGGTCATTTTTTGCAGTGCATGCAGCTCCACTGCTGAGAGGGCCTGTCAGAGGCTGACAAATGGAGAGAGTGCTTTCTGCTGAGAGCAGTCCCTGCAGGTTTCCCAAGTGGGCACCAGCCCAGGGCCAGGAAATTACACATGTACACTGACCATCATAACGCTGTCATATGAAAGACTGCATAGCCTAAAACTAAGTTTAGACTGTCCTGTCTGACACACATGCAGGGTTTGAAGACCAGTAACTTGGTTTCTGATATGCTGAAGACTTTGGTTGATTCAGGTAACATGAAGAAGAATAGCTGTACAGATGTACAGCAAGATCAGTATGCTGCTACCCCTAACCTCTGATGTCACTTCCTGTCAAATAAATGGAATTGACTGCTGGGCATTTTCCTGCTCCTGTATCTAAGAGAGACACCATGGAAAACAATAAAAATTAGCCTTTTATTTTCCACACTTCAACACATCATTTCTGTACAGGCTTTTTCTGAGTTAGTATTTCATACTTTAGTATTTTGTATATATCTTTAAGTTTAAAGTTCTAATTTAGTAAGGGTCAATAATTTGTCAATGTCATACTTCACAGTGACTGCAGCTACTGTGCCCTCTGCACACATCCTCATATACTGTAGCTGCAGTCCTCAAGGAAAGCGAGGCTTCAGCAGTTTAACAGACTGAACCCCTGCAGAGGACAGCTCTGTGGAAGAGTGAAAAATCAGGGCTTTTTCTGCTTCATCCAGAGATAACACCTGAGCAGAGTTTCATGTGTGTGTGTTTTTTTTAACTTCAGTGCAAAATGAGTTGGTTTTGTAGAAAAAACAGACAAAAGAAACCTGGAATTTAAAGTCTCATAAGCATAAACGTTCTTTTATGATCCAATATGATCTGCTTTGACCCAGGTGTTTTGCGATGTGCTGCAAAAATTGATACCTCTCTACAAATTACCTCTAACCTTTACACCTTAGTCATTCACCATCCTCTTTAGCCTTATGATGAACGTAATTATGCAGCTTCATCAAAGCAAGCAAATCAATAAACTAATCCGCAAGTCTATCGTGCCTTCTTCAGTGCCGATCTTTTTCCACTTGAGCAGAAACGGCGCCAAACACCAGAGTTATTTTCCATAGCTGGAGAAAACAGATTTCTAAAGACGTCAGTCATGCATCATCGCTACGATCCCTCCATTATGTTTCATCAGTCTGCACGAGTGTTTGTTGGCCCGGGAACACTCACAGCAAGCCCCCCCAACCCACCCCCTCCATCTGTGTTGCTGCTGACTCATTGTCACAACCCCTGAATCTGCTGCCTGCCTGCATTATTTACACTCACCTTCCTCTGTTGGTGCCTCCTCAGCACCTGCAGCCTAAAACTAGAGGCGGGGCAGCTCCAAGCATCCCGGGGTGTTCATTTTAGCCACATGTCCACTTACCACCAGCCGACTCATCGATTAATCGAATGAAAGAAACAAAGACGTCATCGGCCATTTGAACAACTGAATAATTCTTTCCTTCGATTAATCGGCGAATACACCGAGTGTGTTTTGTTTATTGAAACTTTATCTGGAGATCATAGACAAATACGCTGAGAAAAAACAGTTTCAAGTGCTGCGTTTTCTCTGATTCTTCAGTGTGATTTGCTTCTGCTTTAGTTTTCATTATTATGATGCTTATTTTTATTTATTATTAAAGCATTCTCATACCTACTATTGCATTTGAATCTGGACAGTCTTCATGAAAAACTTGAAAATGATATTGTGATATTGATATGATATTGTTGAACTTGAGATGTTATTGTACATGCTACAGAAGGATAGTGAGCTTGAAAGACTTTAAACTATGACAGTTATAAGTAATTTTAACACCTTAAACTGCCAAATAAAAACGTTTACTTCTGGTTCTAATTGAGACCTTCAGGTCCTGTATGTGTAATTAATCTCCCATAGAAACAATATTCAGAATTAAACAGCATATTGGAGGCATCAGATTCAGTTAACTGACTGCAGAAATAGTGGAGACACTGTAAAGAGTAATAACTGTGCTCCTCCCCGTGTCTGTCAGAAGTCCTGCAGGACAAAAAAAAAGAAGAGACCTCGCTGCAGCAGGTATCTACTGCTGCATTGGCCGGGGAGAGTGCAGAGCTGCAAACTAAAGGACAGTGATACGCACACATGCTCTGCTCCTGGCAGCAATGCTGCAATGAAAAGATGTTGCATTCAAAGAAATCTGACCAATGATTATGCCCATCAGTACTCTGCCTATATCCAATCACTGAAAACGCTTAGTGGTGAAAATGCGGTGTATTTGAAAAACTGTAGTCGGTGTCGTTCTGTGTCACCTTGTGTGCTCAGCTGAAGTTTGACTGCAGAGCTTCCTAGCTGACAAAAAGTGATCTGCCCCCCAGTGGAAGGATTTGGAATAATAGAGGAGCAACTTAAAAGCCAGCTTCCTGGGATTTGTATTTTCTACAGAAGACAGTGATGAGAAGACAACAGCAGACAAACACCAGCTCAGAGTTTTTAGTTTTATTTAAGGTTCATTTTTCCAGACCTGCAGAGGACAGTTCACTTCCTTTAAGCGCCTCAAATTTGTCGTTTTGTTTATTTTTTCCTTGCAACATCATGTTAAAACCCATTGTATGACTCTGTGTTGGTTTCTCCTGGATGACTTTGTTCATTTTGTGAATACTGTTAAATAGAGAACAGCAGGGGGGGAGGATGGGGATCAGAGAGACAGAGCAAGATCGAGAGAGAAGAGAGCGGTAGAGAGAGCGAACACAGATCAGAATTAAGACTTCAAAAAGAAAAAAAGGTGGTGGTCAGAGAGGTTGATTTCAAATCCTAAAGGCTCCTTAAATCACTACTACAGTACTTGGTATTGTCTTGCGGCACCTTCCTTTGTGACACATGATCAAATACAGTTGTCAAAGTCATGTACAATATTGCATATTTTTCAGCAGTCCTGATGCTCTCCTTCCTATCGCTAAAGCTCCTCTCTCTCTCTCATCTGTCCATTTTAAGGCCTCGTTTAAGCCCTCGTGGGTCAAACAAAGGGACCTGTTAACCCCTTTATTACCCTCGTTAGTATTCGACATATCCTCATCCATCTAGTCATTGTCCTTACTAAGTGGTGGCTGTCCATGTTAGGGCTAGCTATTGTAGGTACCACACAGTGGCACTGTGAGTCTAACCCTAGTGCTCAGGATGTGTGCCACGATCTCCCAAAGCCCTGGCTCCCTGCGGTTAGGCGATGCTCTATCCTCTGATACAGAGGTTCAGCAAAATTTTCCCTCCAGCAGGACGGGGCCAATGGGAGTTCCCCTCGACTAAAGAGAATGTGAGCCAAGTGGCCTCTCAAAGCAGGCCATTTGTGTCCTTACCTAACAGGGAGCCCATGCATAGCCTGTGCCCTCAACTCCCCTGTCTCATCTGCATCTTGACCTTTACTAACCAATTCTCAGCTTTTTTTGTTTTTGAGGTTTCGTTTTATTTATTCATTTTTAAACCCACTCAACAAAAAGCTAAGACCAACCCCTCTTCTCTCCAGCCCCCTTCAGACATGCGCTTCTTTTTGTTAATCTTACACATCAGCTAAACGTCTAGATGGTCACTTTTTCTGTATTTCAATCACCGTCTTGTACGGCTAGACCTGACGGCATTTACAAATCAATTTGAAGTTTGATTGCACACAGGCATGTTGGCGGATAGGCACGCACAGGATGATGATTCACTAGGAGGCGTCTCTAAACAGCAATTACATGTACACAATGATATTTTATCTAATCGACTCCTTTTCTCGTTCACAATGTGATTACTACAATCCTCTTTGATGTGATTTGCCTATTTCCAAAGACAGATCTGTCACGATGCCTGTGTGTAAGAAGCAGGGTACGGTAGGAGATGCTGAGAATATTTTTTGCCACCAAAGCAGCCAGTCTTTTCTTTTTTGTCTCCCTTCCCTTATTTATCTGAATAAACATAAATATAAAAGTGACTCAAGTCAGAATGACAACTCCCTTTGAACGAGGTGATGTCACGAATCCCATGTCTGAAAAGGGCTTCCCTCTATCATCTCTCCTTATTCTCGACACAACTGTAAGAATTAACCGTTTCACAGACTCCTGTTAAACTGGGGAGGATGAGGGTCTTTGGGGCAAAGCTTCAAAGAGCAGATTCACAGCTTGGTTCATTCCTCGAAAACTAATCAAGACTTCAACTTTCAAAAACACAAATGCTGTTCATGCTTAATCATTAGTTACTTTTAAAATAAAAAGACCTCACATCAGCTAATTTGTTTATTTGCCAGTTTGTGGAGTTAACTCTCATGTCACCACTGGGTGCTCGATCCTATATTGATTCTTGTGCTCTCCGTTAACAGTAAGCTACATAATGAATCCCATGTTACACCCAGAACTAGGCCTAAGGAGTGGTGATGGCAGCAGACAAAAAGGTACTGATAACTTGTGTGCCACAAACAAAAACAAAATAAAATGCCTTCAGAGTGGACAAAAAGGAAGGATGAAGAGAAAAAAGATGAAAGCATGTTTGTTACTTTGTTAATTTTTCATACTCTGCAGATTGGTGTGTATTGCATTGGGAGGGGGAGGGGGAGGGTACAAGATGAGTGGGTATAAAGTGGTAGTGGGGCAATGGATGGGTGTCTGCTGTAGTCTGTGTTCAGTGGCGGTCCACAGCGGCACTCTGTAGCAGCTCTGTGGAGGGCTGTCCTGGGGGTCTGAAGGCGGTCTGGAAGCCTGGGGGAGGGGAGTGGAACTGACTGGCGGGATTGGCTGTGGGAGGGGGAAGGTAGGGAGCCCAGCCGGCGGCGGCTCTGTGGTGAAGAGGGATGTGGGCATCGAGGAGGCTGCTGTGGAGGGGCTGGGGAGTGGGCATCGCTGAGCTGGCGGGGCCGTCCATCTCTGTGAGCGCCTGCAGGGATTTAAGCCAGTGTGGTGGGTTATCGTCCTGGAGGCAGTCTAAACTGTTGCCGGCTGAGGCTGGGATGCCTGCGGGGGGTTATGGAGAGGGAGGACAAGAGATGAGTGATGGCGAAAAAACACCACAACACAAATCTGACATAAAGACAATGATATTTGGGATTTTTGTGATCAGCTGCTTTGTTGAAACATTTAGAGTAGTGCTGTCATTGGTGACTTTACCCATCATTTCTATTCGATATAACAATATATTGCTTATATGACACATCAAAATGGAAAAGTTATGCAACTTTATTTGAAAGGCTTTTCTTAATCATGTAGCTAAGACACTAAATCAGTTTAAAAAACACTTTAAAATGTTTTTTGTCTTTTCTGTTATCAGTCATAATAGCTGGCACACATTTACGCTTTATTCCAAAAAAATGAAATTCTTCATACTTTCATTTTGTCATCCAAAGCTGTAAAAATTTCAGAACTCCAGGGTTAGTCTTGTGTGAGCTTGTCACTCGCGCTCCTCCCTCTGCTCAAAAATGTCATAAATGACCACATTGTGCCAGTTGTTTTTACCCACTTCTACGATAGTGAAAAGGAGGAAGCATTTTGATGCCTGTAAAATATTTATGTTGCTCTTTCCTTGCTATTATTCTGCTAAATACGCTGATGGAATTTCCCAGGATATGTTTGACATTCAAATCAAACGTCATACCAAACTACTCATCCTCACTACCAGACCAGATGGAAAATGACTGCTTACAATTATGACTTGGCGAAAGATAATAACAACTTGATTTCCATTACCACAAAAGACAAAACAAAAAAAGAATCTAATAACTCATCCATGATTTGTATACGCCCAGTTTTAAACTTGCTTAAACGTGTCAGCCTTTATCATGTTAAATATTAAATATCAAGTAATTTCACTAATAGTGCTGATGTTTTTACAGACCAATCTTTTAGGACTAAACAATAATTTCAAACAAACAAAAGCCCAAACCAGTTATTTTGGATTTTTGCTTCATAAAAGATGTGAAATGTTGCTGTGAACTAATTGCCAACCTGTAATAATAGCGGGGTCCATCCAACTGCCTGTGCCGTCCCAGCTCAGGCTGTGCGACATGCCTGCAGGTCCAGCTGGCCCACCAATGTGGTTAACACTGTTGGAGGATGAGGAGGAGGAAGAGGACGAGGAATTTGGGAGGCCCCCAAAGTTGATATTGATGTTGGGCAGAAGAGCCCTGAGACCATCCTGCCACTCTTTCACATTTAAGCCGTCTATAGAGCTGCTGTTTTCTACAAGAGAGAAGTAAACAGACATGTCAGCTCCTCAGGTGTTTTTGTGTTTAAGTACAAAACTGCATCTGCCAGCAAAAAAAAAAAAAAAAATCAATACATGCTAATCAAAACAAGTATCATAATGCCATGCCGCAGCACACATGTGCTGTGAAATTAAATAGCTTGTTGATTCTCTGTTTTAACATGCACTGCTGCAATGTGACACAGAAAGGTGCCAAAGTGACCCACGGGTCTGGTACCTGAGATGGGGATCCCTCCCAGCCCTGTGTTGTGCTGAGGCGGCAGATTCAGGTCCAGAAAATTACTGTGTGAGGCAGCACTGGCTGAGTGGTTCAAGTGTGTGAGGTTATTCCGTGTGGGCACGCCCAACCAGGGGTGTCTGGCAGCTGGCTGCTGCTGACTGGCCTGGCTGTTGTGAGTGCTGGGGAAACTGAAGGAGCTGTAGATGGTTCTGTGGTGCTGTGGGACACGTGGGAGGCCACTGGGGAAGTGATGGGAAGCGCTGGGGTTAGGGTTGGAGGGTGGCAGGCTGGGTCCATGGTTGCTCCCCTGGGTGAGGGGCCCTGGGGATGAAGGGCTCTGATCCTGTACTGACAACTCCTTCTCTATCAGGTCGGCCAAAGCCTTGCGAGTCACATCGAAGGGATCAAAGCCTAGGTCGTCATCCTGCTGTTTGCTGGACGAGCCAAAGCCAAAGGCCGCCTGCCAGTCTGTGGAGGACGACACTGGTATTGTGTCTGAAGGGAGAGAAAACACAGAGGTTATAGGAGACACAAAACTTGGACTACCTGATAAACTTAGATGATAAAGATTACACCTGCAATAGTTTTGAAATTTCCTTACATGCAAATTAAACAAACTTCCCCTTTTTATTATAGTCTTATACGTTTGAGCTTGAATAGGTATTAGATACATTAAAATTTAAGTGCAACTTGTGCCTAAGCATTTTCTGCTTATTATTTACATTACCTGCATTAGTTATATTGGCTCAATGTTTAGAAAACAGAACATTTTTCAACAGAAAATTCAGAATACAGCAGATAGAAGTAATCAAAATGATTGACAGCTAGATTAAACATGGTGTTATTCTACCTGATGTGAAGAGGCTCTGTGGTTCAGGGGTCATAGGCCAGTCGGAACTGCCGCGAGGGGAGCTGGGGAAGGGTGGCAGACCAGCAGGGAGGGGGTTTGGATGTCTGAAGTTACTGTTGTCTGAAAAGAGTGACTGGGACTCAGCTGCAGCACCCTCAAAGGGCGAACGGGCTGTGATGTCTGACATGCTGATGGGCACTACCAGGCTGGGCTTAGTTAAACCCGGGGGAGGGGAGGGCGAGTCACTTGTGGGTATCTTTATTTAAAAAGGAAAAAAAAAAAACAAGAAAGAAGAAAATGTTTGTGAAGTTGTCCTTATTACTACAGATTCATACTCAGATTTATATTCAAACAAAAGAACCACAGAGGTTGGTTAATGCTGTATTACCTGTTGTAAAGTCTCGCCATTTACCATGCCGATAGACTCTGGAGGTTTGTCACTGGGACTGCAGGTAGAAAATTTATATATAGACAGAAAAAAAGGTCATTGCAAAATTAATACACAATTGCTTTATTCAATAACATGCAAGTCCTTTTCCGGAGGAAAAACCCATGTACCTGTTACTGTCACAGTTAGAGGAGAAGGGGGACAAGGCAGTACGCTGGCCTGGACCTAGCTCTGTTTCTAGCCCATCTGAAGTAATAGCTTCTTGGTCTAGATAGTCTAGCAGTGGAGGGGACTTGCGGTCTTCTGAAAGCCCGTTGGACAGTTTGTTATGCCCTGACAGCGTCGGCCACCCATCTTTACCATTGCTACTGTTGGTTCTGTAACAAAGCAGGACAGAAATGAGCCTCCGCTGCACTGTGAGTAAATAATAAAAATACAACAAATCTAAATATCATTAAAAACCAACCTCTGTGTGGAGTTAGCTTTACTCTTTGACTTTTCTGTTCCACAAGCTGGAGGTTGTAGAAAGCTAGGGTTAATTTTATAGAGGTCTTGGAGGAGTTTTTGCTCATACTCTTGATGTTTTCCTGCCTGAAGAAGCAACATAACATGAGTCAAAAAGGGGCTTTAAACCACAACTGTCTGTCATTGTGGGAAGAGGAAAAAAAAAGTGTACCTGCATCTCCTCTTTAGTAAAGCTAGCTGCTTCATCCCCCAACTCATGTAGGTACATACAATCAGGTTTGGGACACTGCATACTTTTGAGGAAGTAACTGCAGTATTTTGTTGTGCCTAAAGAAGCCTGCAAAAGAAAGAAATAGAAGAAGAAAATTTTACATAGAAATTCATACTAATTCTTTTCAAAGAATTATTTTCTGTGTAATCTACATTGTTTACAATGACGTTTGTGTTAAACAGCTAGAAGCAGAAAAGAAAATGGAGAATAAAATGAATAATTTTTGTGCACTTTAAAAGACTACTAAAATCACTAAAAATGAACAAAGATCTTTGGGTCAACTTCTCACCTTGAGTGTTCTGCCATCAACAACCACATTGTTCACACACTGTATTGCTCTTAGAGCATCTTCAGAGCGGATGTAAGTAACATAAGCGCTGGCACTAGGCCCCTAAAAAACAAAACAGGTAAATAAACATGCCATTGATGTGGTTGCATACTTTTATGAGCTCACTGTAGCTATGAAAGAGGATTTTCATTATTAAATTGCTGTTTTAACCTAATCCACCCTCCTCACCTGTGAACCTGCGTAAGATGTGCTATTGTTGATGACCACTTTATGGATTTTCCCAAACCTCCCAAAATACTCCGGCCGTTTTAGGACCTGTGGGTAAAACACAACAACACTTGTGACAAAGTGTTGGGAATACTGAACTCTTTCAAACTGAATATTCAACAGAATCACGAATCAGGAGGAAGCTGCAGGTAAAAACATTTAAATATACATAAAGATCATTCTCCAACAAAGTACATTTAAACTTCACTGCATCTGTCAAGCCCAAATCTACAGTGATACAGCCACTTCCTTAGCTGCATCAAACTGAATACCATAAGTTTCAATGCTCCTGTCACAGGTAGCTGAAGTGTAATGTCAGCATTACACTCACCTCTGGGTCAGCGAGTCGCTGCGAGAGCCCCACCACAAACACCAGATTTCTCTGGACCACTCTGACACTGGCCAGATGCTTGCGGTTTTCTGTCACCTTTTGCTTCTTCTCATTCTGTTTCTGCTTCTTTTCATTCTTTATCCTTTGGATCTCCTCCTGTGACAGAGGCTTGTACACAGCAGGGTCCTCTGGATAAGGCTACACAAAAACACAAAGAACTGCGTTACAAACAGAAATATCTCCCATTCAAAGGAAAAAAAATTACTAATTTAAGGCGTGGTTACACACAAGCTACACCTGTGTAATTCTAATTACATGATGTCTCCTCCAACAAGACTGCTGAGCCAGACAAATCATCCTCCTGTTTAATGAGCTTAATGGCATCTACATCCATTTCACCTTTCTGCATGCGGGGCAGAGGCCGTTCTCATCTGTACGGATGCGGTGCCAACAGAAGCGGCAGATCTGGTAGCCACAGGTGCAGGGGAAGAAGTTGACGTCATCAATCTCCAGCGGCTCCATGCACAGTGGGCACTCCATGGGGTCGTCCTTCATTTCAGGGCTGTGGGACATCCTATGGCGCAGCAAGGCTGAGTACTGAAGCGGATCACAGAGCACAGGGCTACCAAAACATAAATGAAGAGTATAAGAGCTCCACTCAGAACTGACTAAATATAGCAAGCAATATATTTACAATTTATTTAGAATGACTGAACTTGTTGTCAGTGCAGATGCTTAACAGCAGAAAGGTATAGCCCTTTTGATTGAACTTCCAACATGACAATATATCAGTGAACACGCCAAAATACTTTTACTTGCATTTTTAAATGCAATTTTTGAATCCCAAACCAGTTACTTAAGATCACCCAGCATTTTAAAACAAAGTTTTTTAATCAAATGACAGCACAAAGTAGAGAAGCACCACTATAATAGCGAAACATCAGTATCAGCCTTGTTGACTACCTGACTACCTAAAACAATCTGGTCAAGATTTTTTGCTTCTTTTGTAAAAAAATAAAAAAAGACAAAAAGGGGGGGGGGGGGGGGGTATAAATGAAAACAACAACGCACCCACCCCCATCAGCTATAGGCCAAACTGTTATTTCAAACATTGTATCAGCTCAGGATTTCAGTGCTTCCCGAGTACTACAGCTGAAAATCATTGTGCTACACACAGAGCTGTAATATTTAAGTGATACATCAAAGATTAAGAAAAAGGTGTCAACAATTGACACATTTGTGTCTCAATACTATTTCAAACGGTCCTAAATTAATATATCCGACCGTTTTCTTTAGTCCTCAATAACAGTTAAATATATCTGAGTGTGCTACATCGCGCAAAGAGAAACACTCATCGGTAACACCTCTACAGATGACCACGAAAAGGCTTGAATAATAACGGGTCATTCTGGCCTCCACAGATGGAAGATTTGTTGCATTCTGTTGAGGTCTTTTCATTGGGCGGCACTGGTTTTTCTAGCTAGGTCTAAAATAAGCCAAATGGGTGTACGTACCAACCCAATCCTTAAAAAAACAGAACTAATGGTCGCAAAGTGATAATGCGGATGTTGTGGTATCTTTCTTGGGCTGACACGTCATGGTCGACGTTAAAGACAAATACAATAAAATAGGTTTATTTACGAATGAATCGCCTGTTGTTGGCATTTAAACATCAGCCTGTTTTCTACGTGACAACACCGCTGCCAGCAGACGAGCCCATCGAGAGCTCGATAAAAACCTAAAAGACTATAGACATCCAATGCCGGGCAGCATTTTCGCAAATAACCCTACACGTACAGGGCTATCGCCGTTTTGCGTTTTCACTCGCAGACATCCCCACTAAAGTCGTGAACAAATCGTGTTGGCCAAGCTGGTAACTTTAGCTGCTTAGTCTCCTGGATCGTACGTTATGACAGATGTTATTTGACTAACCACGGGCTAAGCTAACATTAGCCGCGAACTGGCAAAAGACGCCGGTCTGATTGAGACCAAGTATTCCGTGACAACTGCGATATTAATCACAAATATAATGCATGTGGACATGAGACGTTCCCCAATATTGACGTTCGTAGTTTAAAAAAAACGTATGACATAACGTTTTGGTGCCCCCCTATATAAAAAGTGACAGCTTGCTTAAGCTAACCCGTAGTTAGCAGGCTACATTATCAGAGTGTACGAGGGTTTGGAGTTGAGCTGACGACGAGGCCTTACATAAGCTAACACTGAACTGGGAACAAGTTGTTGGCACTATAAACAACTGTCATTGCTCAAACGACATTAAGATTAGCTGGGCAGAAATTCATGAAGAGTGAGAAAACTTTACAGTCAGTCAGTAAAATCGCAACAGACATAATTGCCCTTCATTTATTGAGGCAGAATGGAAGCTGGCTAGCTCAGCTAGCAGCTTGGCTAACGTTAGCGTTACTTACCCTGTCCGTATTTAGCTTAGGATTCCTCTCCAAGGGAGTCACACTAAATTGGGCGGGGACTGCGAGCCAATGTATCTGAAATGTCAAAATATCTATAGAGGGTCACGTAAGACACCAGCAGTTGTGTTGTTCTGTTGTAATTAAAAGGCTATAAAGATGTTTTGCCCCTTTCTTTTCTTGGTATTGTGGAGACAATTTACGCTCAAACCACCATCTTAGCTAGCATTATAGTTGGGAGGAGGGAGTGGGGCAAGTATTCAGTGCCACTGAGTCTGCGCAGATGGGCTGATGCTTTCAGGGAGATGTAGTTTTTACATTTTCCCATCGTTCCATTACGTTCAAGAGGAATGTAGTTCCCACTGCAACGCACTTACGAAGAAATTTAGTTATTATTTTCTAAATTCAAAATGCATATATTTTAAATCAGCCGTCATTACTATGTTAGTTATATTCAACTTTTTACATATTATTCATTTGCACTACACATCTATCTATCTATCTATCTATCTATCTATCTATCTATCTATCTATCTATCTATCTATCTATCTATCTATCTATCTA